CACCCCCTTTAACCCTCGTGCTGAGACCGCCCGTGCTAGCGCCAGCGGGGAGATCCGTCCCGGTAACTCGGCTAAGACCACTGCAAGCAGCAGGCACCTCGGCTTCAACAGAGCCGGTGAAGCGCCGCGGCACTGGCACCCTCCTGCAACTAACCCAGCACCGCTAGAGCCCTGGCACGAGAGGGGATGGTCACATCTCCTGCTCCTGTCCGGCACTTCAACAACCCCTAACACCCCCTCCCCAACAGACTAAATGCTGTGGGGTTTATTTGGGGACTAGCCTTCACAAATCGACCGAAGATGAGAGGTTCCCCGCCGGCGGCAGAGGAGCGAGAGAAGAGAAAGTGCTACTGACAATTGGTCCACTTACATCATTGGGAATAGTAAGTTCATGGGAACTGGTTGGAGTAGTGGCATCCAGTCCTATTCAGGGGACAGAGGGAAAATGTTACGCCAGTCGTTTGCGAGAAGGGCAAGACACAGCAAATGATATTTTAAAGAAGGAAACATACAGAAAGAAGGGGGTCGGGGGGAAAGAGAGGAGCAAAGAAAAATAGAGATCTGCTAGCAAAACAGAAAAGAAAGCAAGAGATGCAAAACTCAGAGGGCTGGACTAATTTTAAATGAGTCTTGTTTTAATTAACCTTTAACCCACCAAAGCAACAAATGTCACATGAGATTCCGCAGAGTCATAAAAAGCTTCTAGAAAATTAAGGGTTTCCCCTAAAAATAGTCTCTGATAAACACATCAATTGAGAAATTAATGGATGGCTGAAATTGGACCTGTCTACCAGGAGTTCTAGAATGTGGAAAATGAAAGTGGAAGTCAAATGAACAATTAGCAGAACAAAATACATAGATATGAAAAAGAAAAATTATTAATTAAAATAAGGATGAGGAAACGAACCTAGGAAAATTTGGAAATTATATGTGGGATTAGTTGCTGAAAAAACTTTGGGAAGGGTAATTTTTGAAGGGAAATGTACAAAATACTCTAAGCTGCATACATTTGTTTGTAAATTGGGTGGACAAAAGGAAAATGCTCAGGAAAAATGGAATTACTGCTCTAACACACAGTAACGTTACAGAAACATACATGTCTCAAATATAACCAGGAAAAGATTAAGGAGCAGCATGTTAATGACAAGAACAAGGAAAATATAAAGCCAGGAGAGGCAATTTAGTATTACTTGTAGATATTTTATCAGATACATCATGAAGAAACAAAAGTATATTTTGGATGTCATTTCTCTTTCTCTCCTTTTCTCTTTTTTTTGGTGGTACTATTATTATTGTTATTATTATTATTGTCTATAAAGACATACCAAAAATGCCCATTTCCAACAAGAAAAGATGGAAAAGAAATACTCTTACAAAGAAGTGTTCACCTACATTTTACTTACATTTACATTCAATTAAGAGTTGCATACGCTTATTTTACATTGAATATAAAGCAATCGAGTTGCTCACAAAATTTGATGTATGTGATAAAATGTTATTTGCCATACAAAGCATGTACCAGTACATATGTACTTCTGTTCTGTGAAGTTTTTAGATGCCAAGCATGTATGTAGTGAAATACAGTAAAAATGATTTATTGCAGGGTTAACTGACTTCTCACTCTTGAATAAAGAATTCAGCTTCAGCATTAATAGGTATGGACTACATTTGCAGTCCTTAATTTAGCTACATGCCCATGGCATTTTGTAGCTGTATCTGCATATCTCGTAGGAAGAGAGGCACTTGTCCCAGCAGTGATGACTGCAGATGCTCTTAAGACATTTGGCTCTACAAGGAATTTGAGTTTCAGCGTGCCGTGATTTCTTTAATCAGTATTTCCGTACTGCGATTGCATACTGTTTTCCTGTGTTTGCTTCTTTCTGAATCATGTTACCAAACTGGAAATTTGACAAAAGGCACACCCAAGTACTTCACTCGGGACCAACTGGTACATACTGTATGGTCCATAATAACTTTACAAGGACTGAACAAAAGAAACTCAGGGCTTTTAGCCAATGGCACAAATGAAGCAGTTTTGATTAAATAAATGTAACAAACGAAGCACGTTTTAGTAATGATGAAAGGAACTGTAACAGAGGCACGGCGGGGGCGGGGGGAGAACAGAGATTAATGTGTAAAAACAGAAGGATCGCTGGTCATTGACCACATTTATTATTAAAATGATGTAATGACCACGGGAAACAAAGCTGTTAAGAAGAAGGACATCCCCAGGGGGTGATGGGTACGTACCAGGGAAACCAGGGGTGGTCTGCCCAAGGGGAGTAAAGGGGGGATGCTGCATAGCCAACTGGTGAAGCTTGGTCAACTGCAGGGCAGGACGGGAAATTAGAACTAACCAATCAAATGGAATTATTTCAGAGCAGAGAAACCATCTTACATGTTCTAAAACTGGATTAATTAAAATTATATTGGAAAATAAAAGGTTCAATCATTCATTCTAATCCACCGTAGAGAAAAAAAAAAAACAAAAACAAAAACCCAAACTGGTTGTAAATGACATCTCTACTGTTATTACATGTAATGCCTATTGTTAATATTAACTAATTACTGTAGAATTACATATTAAGAGAACTCAAATATATCACATGCAAAGAAAGACCAAGATAACTGTCATTTGTTCCTGGGCCATTGTACTTTCTAGCAATTATTACAAAAGGTAAGAGATGCAGCTGAGCGAACACGTGGCTCTACTGTGTGTTATTCAGGAAAGGTGTCCTTAGGCCGGGTCTTTATTGCTAACCGTAGAAAGCAAATGCTGCCCAGAACAAATAAGAGGGAGAGGAAGGAAAAGGGAGTAATTTACACGCGCAGGACTCACGTCTGGATGAGGGATGGCATACTGCCCCTGAATCGTGAACGCCTGAAAACAACAAGCACATTTAAGACACAGGTCAGTCAGGGGGAACAAGCGGTGCTCCTGTTCTCATCAGAAAAGCTCCCCCCGGCTCCCCCGGCAAATGCTACCCGCATCGCTTTCAACGCTGAGCGAAGCTTAATTGTCCTGTGCTGCTTGATAACGCTTGGCATGGGACAGGAATATCTTAGCTGGGCTGCCCGCACACCCCTTGCAAGCAGGGGATGCTGACTGCCACTGCTCAAGCTCTGGTCACCCCGGTCCTCAGGACCTCTCTTCAGCCCAGCTCCGTCTGCTGGGAGCAGAGCTGGGGACACCACGGGGGCTGAGGAGCATGGGGGGTGGCCCCTTCCCCTCCCTGCCGCCCCATCCACCCAATGCCACTGATGCGCGTGGGGAGATGCTGATGCTGGGGCAACAAGGATGGGGCAGACCCACCCGGGGGATGTCCTGCCCTGACATCCAACTCCTGACTGCTGTGTGCAGCTCTGAGCCACCTCCTTCTGGCTACTGATGCTAAATGCCAGCAACCGTGTGCCCTGGTGCACCCCACAGGACTCATGCCGCAGGCTGCCGTGCCAGCTGCTACGTGAGCGCGCGTGCTGGATGGCAGCCTGTCCCGCAGTGCCGGGGTATGGGGCCAGCATGCCGGTCTGGAGATAGGAGCACGATGGGGATTCCCAGCGTGGCGGTCTTATCTTCCGCAAGAAGCCAAATATCCCCCCTCCAAATCCAGCCTCTCTGCACCACAAGAGCAGTGCAAGGGGTATAGTTTCTGGCACCACTCCTGGAAGCACTGGGGTGAGGTGGGGGAGGCAAAAAAAGCACGTGAGCGAGGAGGGACACGGTGGCATGTCTGGCACTAGTTAGCATGGCCCTTCATCTTTCCTGCTGGCTCTGTTCAACACTCTGTAATGGCCTACAAAGAAAAAACTATCGAGAGTTTATAATTTTCTATTATATCCTGTAGAGCTTTTTTGAATGCAACGGCATGTCAGAAAAAATTTAATATGCTTGTGCTTAGATAAGCAGGAAAGCAGAAAGACAAATTATAACATATAAATATTTGTAGTTGGAGAATTATAAAAAGGAACAGAGCTGATTAGCTTAGTTTGCAAAATGCTTATTTGACAAAAGGCCTCTTAGAAAGTAATGAATCCTCTGCAAATGATAAAACAATTCATTTAATGGAGTTCGGATATTAAAACCTTTAATGCCTCCAACTGCTTAATGCACATTTCTGCAGCAGAATTTCCCTTCTGGAGAAGAAACATTTAATTTAGTTTTTAAATTAGTTATAAAATAAGGCCTCAATCCGGCAAACATTATGCACATGAGCAGTTTTCTGGCAGAACTGCGTGTGACTGGGCTCAATGGGATGCTCATGGGTGTACGTGCTCCCGTGCACCTACAGGAGATGGCCATGATGGGCAGTTTAAAAATGACAAGAAAAGGTTCCAGCTCACCAAAACAGGGGATCACTGCTGTCAGTGGCTCTGAAGCAAGCACATATTCAAGCAAGCAAAGCAGCTGCTTAGGTGTTCTACCAAACGAGGGCAAGCTTGAGGAGATGCTACACTGCTTTGCTGAGCTGCGGCTCTGTCATAGCCAAGCACAGGAGCAGCCTCAGGAGGTTACAGCTGGAAAAGGCGCTGGGAGGGGGCATAGCTCCGTGTGCAAACAGCGCGATTGGAAACCACGCTTTGGTCTCTGAACCTCCGTGCTCTTTTCTGCTCTTGGTTTTACCTCAAACCCAGCTGAGAGAACATCTTTTACGTGGGTGCTTCCCAAGCAATGGTCAGTAAACCAGTAAGAAACCACTGCGAAAAAATCACCAGCGAACCTAACGGAAGTCACCCCTTTCCTCATCAGTCCAGTCCCTCATACTTCCATGTATACATATGAGGGAGCAAACAAAATGGAGAAATAACAAAAATAGTCAACACTCAGAGCTCACACTAGTTTTTATTCGGTTGTCAATGAAAACCATCAAAGCAGCATGGACAAGATGGGTCTTGGATTTTCCTTCCCAGCAGAAAAACCCCAAAACTCTTAATTTCTTAGGCTCCCAAAAGGTCACTTGACCGATGTAGGTTGAGAAAAACTGTCTTTGACTGCTTTACCCCTTGGCAGAGGAACTGTGCCCTTCTGCGGCTGGGGCATACTCAGTACAAGCCTGGTGGAGGCTACTGAGACATCTGTACTGTAACATTTCACTAAGGACATGAGCTACGGGTCTGCTTCCATCAAAGTCAAGGGCAACTTTCCTACTGACGTACTGCCATTAGTAACAGCTTTTTTGAATGACCTGGTCTACAAATCTCCCTCAGTTTAAACCAGAAAACTGCTATGGGGCATAAAGCAAAGCTGTACCCTGTGAGTACCCATCTAAACAGCAATGTAGCACGGCAGGTAGAAATTTCCGATTTGTTTCCATCAGGCAGGAATGCTGGACTTATTTATTTTTTTAAGCACTGCATATGCTAAATATGGTAAGGGGCAGAGCAGGGCTAGGTAGTGTTCAGCTTCATTTTAGTTCTGTCATGCAATACGTTATCCAAGAAGCACAAGAGAATTAAAAGCAATACTTAAAGCAGAAGAACCCCAACTTGTTAAGGAAAACTAGAAATTTGATGTTTGCTAGTGTTGCTTGATATGCAAGCATTAAACAAACCAAAACCTTTCAAGATAGTCATGATGAAATTTAGAATGGAAAAATAACTTCTGATAGGGTAGCCAAAAGATTGCATGGAATTAACACTGATGATAAAATTTTATTTTCAGTATTATTTTCCACTTATGAAACCTGGTTAAAGTGCTTTCCATACTGATGCCCAAACACACCTTAAGCATTTTCTTAAAAAGTCTGCTTAGTCAGAGCGTACAGAAATTCAAAGCACACAGAAAGTGTCTGTTTCTCACATCAACAAGCTTGCGCTAGACAAGTGAGAACACTCTTTTAACTGGTAACACTGAAGATGACAAGAGGTGTTAGACCTTAAAATAGGACACTTCCAATTATTTATACAAACTGCTTGGAGCACTCTAGAAAACAGTCTCAATACTTTTAAGTAATCATATATACAGAGACAGTCTTTGAAGGTAGTGGCAATTACAATACTGGTAACATGGGCCGCTGCACATACACACATATTCTTAAAGGAAAGCACTGCAGTGTAAACATATATAGAGAGTAAATTATTCTGAAGTTTCATAGACCAATTTCTGGAAAAATATTTTAAATTTCAATTCAACTCTGGTCACTATTGAAGCATATTTCTTACTTTGAAGACGACTAAGAGTTGTAGGCTTGAACACCAGGAACTGAAAGCTACTACATCCAGATTATGAAAACCTGGATATACATCACTATGTATCATTACAGAGTAGAAGGTAAAACTCTGAGACAAAAATTCAGAAAAAGCTCATTACAAGGCCCTGTCAGAAGCAATGGTGCTTTGGCATAAGCTTGAGATGTGCAGGAGCTTCCTTACAAACCGGCAGATTGTGGTGGCACAGGTCATCTTACCACCAACAATACCAGCAGCACCTTGTGCCCTCTGCTCCACCAGGAACCCCGTGTCTGGCTTCTCATATGACCTCTGAATTGCCTACTGGGGTGAGACATGGTCTCTAGGGCTGCCAGAGGTGATGCAACGGGGTGATGACCTGCGCTGGGCTAATGGGACGGGAGATGGGACCTGCCTGCAGATGTTCCATCATGCAGGTGAGTGGTTCTTCCCACTGGGTAACTACTTGCTGTCATCTTGGAGAAAAGATTTGTCTGGGTGGGGGTGCCTTACTGCCAAGAGAGGCTTCACATACGTGAATGCCACGTACAGGGACGGCTGCCTTCCTCTAGGCCAGACTTAGAAGATCCATTTCCCCTTGAGTTGGGCAGGGCTTGCAGCACCTCACTCCTCCGCCATTGCACATATCTGGGCAGCGCTGCTCTTAGCCTGTTGGCTGTATGGGTCCCCTTGTGAGCCTCCTATGGTGTTTTTAGGGTACATATCAGCTGCATTCATTGCTGGCTCATCAGTTACTAAAACTGCATCCCCCCGCCTTCAATGGCAGAGCAAATTCCCACTGTGCCTCAGCGGCACTTTGCAGACCATTTCAGAGCATTATCAAAAGACGAGGAAGAGTCACACTGCACATGGGGTTTTAAAGGCAGATGAGAACCCTGGCTGACACAGCTTAAGATGAAGGGGGAATCTTCAAAGGTTCACTATAGAAAAAAGAAACAGGAAAGCTCTGTTATCAATCAGGCTGTTGTGTGCCATGGTTAGGAAGGTCTGCACTTGCATATATGTAGTTCCTGTAACCTCAGAACCCCATTGCTACTTGGTCCTGAGGTTCTACAAGCAGCAGAAATTATATGTGTGTCAATTTTTACTGCAAAATGCACTATTTGGTCCTAAAAAAACAGGAAAACTATGAAAGAAAAATTATGCCTTTCATGAGGAGAAACATCCTGCTGTTTGATCACCTCTGAAAATTGACAAAACTTCTTATACTGCTAGTGGAGCTGCAAGTTAAGAGTGAAAAAACCAACCCCTACAAAAAGCAGTTTTGTCCCACTCAGGGAGCATCTGGTTTAGACACCTCTCAATTCGCAGATGTGCAAACTTTTCTTAATTGCAAAAGTTGATTTTAAATCTTGGTAAAATACCAGTCATCACAAGTTTGTGTCAAGTTTGCAATGCAGTGTTCTCCTTTCCTGCAAACTGTAAGCACACGAAGCAGACAAAGCACATCAATACTATACCAGGCAAAAAAGAGTAAAAGTTGAAAACTAACAGGCGCTGGCTGAGGTTGGGCCAAGACGGTGTGGTTTCCAGCTGAAGCCAAAATGGTGTCTGCTCTTACCTGGCCACCTGCAAAAATGATAGGTGCAGAGGCAGGTTTGGGACGGTAGGGGATGGTGGCACCTTTGGGTGGGGACTGCAGACAAAAACACAAAGAGATCAAAATGCACAATGAAGCAGAGCTCATATTAAAAAAACATTCCTTGCCTTGGTCACCTCAGATGAGGCGGCATACAGCTAACCTAGCCCAGCCCAGCCCACCCTGTCCTCCACCCCATCGACCCAAAAGCAACCTGGAGGCCAGTTGTCTGGCCTTTGAGGGGAAGAACCGAGGCCCCAACTGCACAGCTGAAACTGGCAGTGCTGGCACTCATGGCTTCATTACTGCCATCTTCAGATGAAGCTATGAAGCTTCATAAAGCATGTCAAAGCATTTCAGGAAACGGGTACAATTTTGAAATCTGTTGTTTTGGAAGAATCCAGCCTGTGGTCTCACTTTGTTAACATAGAGCAGGCTTCTTGCTTACCTGTCTTTCCTACACTGCTACACATCAAGGTTTCTTGTTTTACCAAGTCAATTAAGTCAGATGTTCAACTGCAAATGACCAGCCTAATCCTGCCTTTTTTCTGCCTGAGCTGGAAGGTTGGAGAAAAATCCTCCTGGCTTCAGCAGTAGCACAACCACTGCCTTTGTAATGCACAGAAAGGGAGTTTGTTCCCTGTAGCCCAAGGCAAGGACCCAAAGGGAAGACCCCTGACTGAGGTTAACTTTCTCCTTGTGAATGAAGCACTACTTTACCTGTCTGTAAAAAAGGCTTCAAGCTGCCCGTCCAACACTTAGGAGAATGGTGCTCTGATTTCAGTGCACTAACTACAACAAGAAGGTAGCAACAATATCACTTCCACTAATGTCAGTAACTATTTCATGTCAATGAAAATGTTGCCAAATTAGATATATGCTGCAAATCAGAGTACATTCGCTTTCTTAAACGTCTGAAGCAGCAAACTGTAGTTAAACCAGTGTTGTCTTAGTGCTGCTTGCTATTTGCCTAACATTAAACTAAATACTTCTTATGTCAAAACTGGTTATTTAAGAAGTAGCTCTACTTGTGGGAAATAGCACTGTGTCTCTCTGATTTTGAGAACTGGCTTCTCTCATCTTCTTTAGCAAATAACTATTTATTCCACGAATGCTACATGGGCAATAGACTACACACTGTATTCACAAAGCTGATAACCATTGCCATCATGTACTCCACCTCTAACAAACTAAAATTATTTTTTAATAGTATCTTTCTGTTCTCCTGCATTTTTATAAACAAATTCCTTCCTCACAGTAGTCTGGCAAAAAAATGAAGCAAGAGTCACTTTCTCCCAGTAAAACACGGGGAATTTATTAGTTTTTATGCTTTCATTTGCATTTGGCTGTATGTTGTTTTGATGCATTGCATACTTCTGAACAGCCAATATTGTTTCTCCCCTCTTTAAAGAATAACTGTAGGGTGTCAGAGCAATGACACAGCCCTGGACCAGACTTAGGAAGAAAGACAAATCATACCAAAAAACTACAGAAAATTTTCCAGCAGAAAATGTGAAAAAAGTGGAGTTGTTTCACATTCCATGTCAAAAATCATGGTTACTAGGTCAAAATATTTCATTTTGATTTGCTGAAATTTTTTTTTGAAACTTCTAATCAACTTAATTAATTGAGAAATGTACTTGCATGAAATTATGGACATTTTCAGAAAGGGTTAAAATGCCGAGATGTTTGTATAAATTAATTTTGTATCATTTATTTTAAGAGCTAAAAAACATCTGTCAAAATGAAACATTCTGGTCTTATGCAATGACCTGACCCTAAGGAAGAAAAAAGTCCTGGTAAGTCTAAATTATGTTAGTCAGAATTGTTTCTATTTAAAACAAGACCTAGACGTTTTCTGCCCTATTCTGCATCAGAATAAAATGCTTTTCTCTCAGAACGGGCTGCAGGTCCACGCTGGACCTGGTTCGTTATTTGACAGTGTCATGACAGCCCTGGTCTTTGATTACTAAATCCTGCTGCGAGAGGCCCTCAAACACCAGGCAGGGCACAGTTAACAGAGTCGTCTTGAAGTCCCTGGCATGGGAAGGGCAGGCAGCACCCCTGGGGAACCCAGCGCACTCGAAAATGAATAAAGTGTTGGAACATCTCCCGAGTGAGAGGTGACAGGCCAAGCACTCACTCACCTCCAGCATAACCACGCATATTTGTTTCACGCACTGGATAATGGCGTCGGGAGTGCCCGATATAGTCACTGCGCGTTCCGTCGAGTTTGGCAGCATGTCCCCCGCTACCTGCACCTGGGCTCCTGTGGACTTGAGGGGAGACAAAGCAAAGGGAGCATCACTGTTGGGTGGGCAACGGCACCTCTCAAAAGGCTGTGATGGAGGGGATGCACCTCGAAACGCTTGTCTGGTCTTTGCCAGGTACGGGTATGAGCGCATATGTGAGCTCATGCCCAGACAGCGTAATTGGGGTCTGGCAGGACACGGATTTCCCTGCCCAAGCCAATTTGCAAACACTCCCATCCTAGGAAGATTAGTCCTCAGTAGCTGTTAATGAATCAAGTTGTGACCTGCATTTCAGGACAAGTCTTTTAACCCCCTTGAATACAGACAGTTGCAATGCTGATCAAAAATGAAAAAGGTGAAATGAAGAACTTTTCAATAATAAAAAAAAAAGAAAAGAAGAAAGGAAAAAAATGCTCATAACTGAAGAAGGTCTGTTCTGAGTTGCAGATAAATGGCTCTGATGTTATCTACTATCTGACTATCAACTGACAGCTGACTTGTGTCTCTGGATGAAATTTGGGGCTGCCTTATGCTCTGGAATATCTCAGGATGGTACAGAAGCACTTCTTTAATTAGTGTTAATTAAATATATGCACATCATCAACTTTTAGCTCATTAATGAACCCAAGGAGGCAATAAGCCAGTTTTGCTTTCTTTTTTTTTTTTTAAATTCGATCTTGGCATAATGTATGTTAGTTAACCAAAAAAAAAAAAAAAGAAAACCAAAGAAAGAAAAAAATACAGGAGGCCAAAACAATCCCTGGCATTATTTCACAAATGTCTTGAAAGACCTTTTCAGTTAATAGAAAAAACCCCAGGCATTTCATATTGAGTTAGCACTTTTACATATTACAAACAAAATCTACTCCTGCCTGTTATTGCAATGCAGTATTTTTGGCTTTTAAAAAAAAATATTTTCAGTAACCATTGACTTTGTGTCAGTCAGCAAGGAGTTAATTTATTTTTCTGCTGGTTACATACAACACATGTTATTGTTCTTTCCAAGGACTGATTGAATTACTGATTGCATCTTCTGTTCACTAGTGCTGTTTAAGGTCAGAATATCAATTCCTTGCTCTATAATAGGCTTTTGAATTTCACCATAATTTGATCAATCAGTCATGCTTTTCTTTTTTTGGCTTGGGTTTTTTTTTTGTAATCTTGAAAACAGTACAGCAGCCCTACATGTTGTTCCTGGGTACGTGACCGAGCACAGAATACCATCCCTCGTGCAATTGCTGCTCAGTGTGTTGTTGTGTGATGATGAAATTAGACCACATCTTGGGCTGGATGGTCCTTTTTTGTGTGTTTGATCATATTTGCTGTTTAACATACAGTTGTAGGTATCTGTACATGTAGCACAAAATACTCTGCCAAATACTGCAGTCATTTATGCATTTGCTTCTCATACTAATCTTGTTTATTTTTTGACTTCCGTTGTATGTCAGCAAGAAAAAAAATGAGGAATATTTTGTCCATTATGCTTATGCTTAAGAAAACGTGCAGTTTGAATTCTCGCTACATTAGCCTTATCAAAAGACCTCTCTGGTCAAACACTATCCTCTTACTTCTTTGTACTAGACTAGTAGGTAGTAGCTTCTGAAACTGTGCTCACCAGAATAATCACAAAAGTCATTTAATGTACACAGACCAGCAGACCAATCTCACCTTTAAAAGCCTATGTCTGAAAAGCACTCACTCAGTGCTCTGGATATTATTTAAATGCAATTATATTTAAAATAAAATCCAAAGTATCGACAGCTCTAAAACCTAGAGCTAAGCACTCACCAGCGCACGGTTCATGCTCACGCCTGCCCCTATTTTAACACAACTAAGAACTGAGCT